GGAAGGCCTTGCACTGCTGTACCTGTGACCCACCACCGTGGCCGAGGAAGGCCTTGCACTACTGTACCTGTGACCCACCGCCATGGTCGAGCAAGACATTGCTGCCGGCGGCGTAATAGACATTAACACTGCTTTACAAGGGGTGCTGAAGGTCGCCCCTCATCCACAGTGGCCTAGCACGTGGAATTTGCAAAGCTGCCAAAGCCTCAGATAAGCGCTGAGCCCATCCTGGTGTGCTTGCAGCCAACTATAATGAGCCTGCGTGTGCCACGCTGGGTGCTGAACACCAGATCAAACTAATTAAGGTTGATGACAACGAGAAACGAGGGGAATGGGTACGGGCTCCGTAAAACCGACCAACAGTGGAGACCCTCCGAACGGGCCAATGGCAGTGGTGTAGCAGTTACGGACTATGGCAAAGAATCTCGGGCCAAGGACGTCACCGAGGAGCGTTTCACATGCAAGGAATGAATGAATAAAACGCTGGCTCACATTCCTCAAAAAAAAAAAAAAAAGACAATTATGTATGCACAGAAAAAAGGCAGATGTTGTCTTCACTGCCATTCTATATACTGTAAATATTATTTGTAAGCAAAATTGGTCTTCTTATAAGGAAAAATAAAGCTATTCCTCTGGGGGAGAAAACAGTACTATATATACACATATATATATATATATATATATTTTTTTTTTTTTTTGAGACAGTCTCACCGTGTCACTCGGGTAGAGTGCAGTGGCATGATCTCGGCTCACTGTAACCTCTGCCTCCTGAATTAAAGCAATTCTTCTCAGCCTCCTGAGTAGCTGGGATTACAGGCACCTGCCATCACGCCCAGCTAATTCTAGTTTTAATAGACACAGGGTTTCACCATGTTGGCCAGGCTGGTCTTGAGCTCCTGACCTCAAGTGATTCGCCTGCTGTGGCCTCCCAAAGTGCTGGGATTACAGGCTTGAGCCACGGCACCCGGCCCAGTACACAATATAATTTCAATTCTGTAAAATATACATGTGTAGGAAAAAGACTAAAAATGCATGAATGTGTTGATAATGAATGAATTCGGTGGAACTGCCCGCACCTGAGGGCGCCTGGATAGGCCGATGCTGTCTCCCAGGTGCTTTAGCTCATCATTGTCTTGGGAGATTCTACATCAAGGTCTGACAAAGATGAATGTTCAATCCTTGGCACTCTCACCTTGTAACATAGAGATCTTTTCATTTCATTGATTTCAACTTTGTGATTTCTGTACGATCACGTTTTACTCGTTGGTATGTAGTGAATTAGGCCGGCAGGCCAATTGTGGTTCAAGATTCTCCAGATCCATGTGGAAATGTCATCACCCCCCAGCCAATGCTCACCACCAACCAAAGAAACAATGGCAAGGCCAGTGAGTCCTCAAACTGCACGGTCTCACTGATGGTAGCGGCGGCCCATCGGGAGCGGCTGCTGCAAAGACATAAGCTGCGGCAAGGAGGTACAGCCGCGGCTGCACACCCTGCAGGGCCAACAGGAGCCAGCAACAGCCGGAGCCCCAATCCCTACTGAGCCGGCAGGGTGGAAGGCCTGCACTCCCAGGCACAGCTGCAGCCTTGCATGGAGCAGGACCCCGTACGAGCACCTTGGAGCTGCCCACCCCACTTCAGCCAGCACGCCTGGTTGTGTGCAGTGGCCAGAACCCGCACTTGCTCACACACCCCTCGCCACTCCACACCTGGCTCGCCTTTGGCAGGCGTGGGATCCAGGCTGGTAGCACAAGCCAAGCGCAGCCTGCCAGGCCAAGAGGGTGGAATGAGCCCAACAGGCCCAAACAAAACTCAGGCAAAGGAGCCACCAGCCACAGAGCTGGTTGGAAAAGTGACAGCCAAGGGATCCTGTGACATCACTTCTTGCCTATCAAGGTCAAGAAATCCAAATTCCCTAGTTCTGGCTTCCCTTTGAACCCACATGCCTTTGGAGAGGACGAGGACTAATGAAGGATATTAACAATGTAAATCCCAATGATAACCCACCAGCTTTTACCGCCAACTGGGGGCTGAGTGGTTTTCAAGACTCGCAGATCTCTAACAGCTGAGGCCCCATTCCTGGGAGGCAATTTAAGAATCCCTGTGAGCCGGGTGCGATGGCTCACACCTGTAATCCCAGCACTTTGGAAGGCCAAGGCGGGTGGATCACGAGGTCAAGAGATCGAGACCATCCTGGTCAACATGGTGAAACCCCGTCTTTACTAAAAATACAAAAAATCAGCTGGGCATGGTGGCATGTGCCTGTAATCCCAGCTACTCAGGAAGCTGAGGCAGGAGAATTGCCTGAACCCAGGAGGCAGAGGTTGCGGTGAGCCGAGATTGCGCCATTGCACTCCAGCCTGGGTAACAAGAGCGAAACTTCGTCTCAAAAAAAAAAAAAAAAAAAAAAAAAAAGAATCCCTCTGCCCACAGACAAACCCCAGCACCCTATCAGGGAACCGTGATATCCACACAGGAAGGCCAGAGCAGGGGTGACATCTTACAGGGGGTTTAGCAGAGAGGCTTCCTTGTCGAATATATTCAATGGCAGCTTCGAATGAGGTCAGGCAGTATCCCAATTCATCCTTTGCCGAGCTGCTAAACCTGAAGTTTTTGATGTAACTCAAATTTGCCATCCTAATGAAAGGAAGAAAAAAGTTATGTTGTTGTCTACCAAAGTCCCACTTCTGCAAAACCAGAATTATTGGCTTGAGGGACTGATCAAATACCTAAAGTCATACGGTTCACTCAGGGAACTATAACCACAGTCCCCCGGGTCTCTGCAGAGCACGTGCGATGGGAACAGAGACCCCTGGGTCTCTGCAGAGCACGTGTGATGGGAACACTAGCTAGTTCCTGGAAGTAGTCTTTAGCAAGATGATTACTGTAAACTGAGCTGTGGGTTCCGGAGGACAGATGATGGGTTTTTTTCTGCCCATTCGCTGCCTAGACACTCATTCCAGAACAAGAAATGTAAGCTCTCTGGGCCTCGGTTTCCCCACCTATAAGTGGACAGATAAAGCGAGGGGAGTCCCCGCATCTGGCTCATAACAGGTGCCCAATCGAAGGTGGATTTTTCCTAGAGTCACACTAGAACTACCACAGGCCAGCACTGCCGTTTTTAAAAGAGTAACTTAACAGAAAATGTTACCAATTAGGGATCTCCGTTTTCACAAGCAAGTATAACAGGACTGAGAGCAGGTCATCAGCACACATGGTTTCCAGGTTCACTGCAAATGGGAAACACACGTTCAATGCCAGAGTGAGATTCAAACGGACCGACAGGCATACCAACTCCCTACCACTGCGCAATTCATGAAGCCATGTTATCAGGGAAATCATACATCCAAGGGGAAATCCCATCGCACAAGCTGCTTTACAGCGTCCTGATCACATGTCAGGTTCAGGGGGGAAAAGAATGCCCAGCATTTTCAGAACACATGCCAAACAAGGTATGAATAACTCAGGACAGATACAGCGACATGGGCCTGTAATCCCAGTGTTTTGGGAGGCCAAGACAGGAGGATTGCTTGAGGCCAGGAGTCTGAGACCAGCCTGGGCAATATAGCAAACACCCCCCCTACAAAAAATATGAAAAGTAGCCAGGTATGGTGGTGCATGCCTGTAGTCCCAGGTACTCGGGAGGCTGAGGCAAGAGGATCACTTGAGCCCAGGAGTTCAAGGCTGTAGTGACCTATAATTGTACCCAGCCTGGGTGACAGAGTAAGACCTTGTCTCTTAAGAAAAAAAAGAAGATGGTAACTCCCAGCAGATCATGCCTTGCCACCCCCTTGGACAGTGAAGAAGCCCAGGGAAGTGGCAGCAGTGACACAAATTGAAGATGTGCCAGGAGCCATGACCAAAAGCCTCTTTCTTCCTAAAGTCACTAAGGTCTTCCTAAGGTCACTTCCGTTTTATACACATGGAGTCCACTGCCCATGTGGAGTTTCACGTATTTTTCCCCTGTGAAATTTCAAGTAATTCATTCACATTTAAAAATTCAAACAATACAAAAGAGCAAACTATGAACGTCCCTCCCATCACTGCCAACCTGTCTTCTTTCCCAGGGGCTCCTGCTGTTGCTTCCTGCACACCTGTCCAGGACAGCTATGAGCCTGCCATCACGTCATGGCTATACAGCTGTCCCCCTCTTTGTATGATGCTGCTGGCTGGAAGTCTACCATATGCATTCCTGTTTATTTCATTCGATACACTCAGGATCATCTGTTATCTACACACATAGCTATGTCTCTTCCTTATTGACTTTTTCTTAACTTGTTTTAATCTTTTCTTTTTTTTTTTTGAGAAGAGGTCTCACTCAGTCACCCAGACTGGAGTTCAGTGGTGTGATCGTAGCTCACTGCAGCCTCCAACTCCTGGCCTCAAGTGATCCTCCCACCTTGGCCTCCCAAAGCACTGGAGTTACAGAGGCGAGCCCCTGTGCCAAGCCCCATAAAATCCCTTAAGATAGCATCACTCCTTTGCTTTTTCACCTGGAAGTAGCATCTACCCTGGCCTTGGCCAAGCCCCCTTCCCCAAGCACAAACCTCTCTGGCTTGGAGACTGTGTAATGAGCTGCACCACCTTTCGCAAGCAGACCAGCTTCTGCTGTGGGGAGGTGCATTTGTTCAGCTGAGCCAGCTCTCTCTTGGCACGAGGTATGTTGAAGCTGTAAAATAATTCGGAAAGTGACAACTTGGGAGAACAGTAAGAGAACCTTTCCACCTGGATGTAAGAACACATCTCAGGGTGTACACTTCTCACAACAAACCAGAAGGAATGAAAAACAAAAATAGATTCTGAGACATCATCTGACTCAAGTCAGCGGCAAAACAGAACCGCCTTCAATCCCATTCAGGCTGCCAGGTGACAGAGCTGTACCAGAAAGTTTAAAAAAAAAAATCCTATTCCAAGAGGGAAATAATCCAAAGAGGATTTGGGAGGGTGAAAAATGTTTGTGACCTGATGAAACTTAAATTAGGCCAAGCACAGTGGCTCACGCCTATAATCCCAGCACTTTGAGAGGTCGAGGTGGGCGGATCACCTGAGATCGGGAGTTTGAGACCAGTCTGGCCAACATGGCGAAACCTCGTCTCTACTAAAAGTACAAAAATTAGCCAGGTGTGGTGGCATGCCCCTGTAATCCCAGCTACTTGGGAGGCTGAGGCAGGAGAATCACTTAAACTCAGGAGGCGGAGGTCGCAGTGAGCTGAGATCACACCACTGCACTCCAGCCTGGGCGACAAAGTGAGGCTTCATCTCAAAAAAAAATAATAATAACGACTAAAATTTTAAAAAGGAAACTTAAATTAACTCCTAAGTAGGTGCCTCTATGGCAGGGTTCCCTTGGGTGGGCAGGTGGGATGCCCCCTGCACGCAGAACCCACACGGCCGAATGACATGCCCGCCTGGGAACCAGCTGCATAAAATCCCGTGCCCAGTGGCTCCCATGCAGCCAGCATGCTGGGGCACAGTGCAGGAGGAGGACGGCCACACAGTCACCTGTAAAGAGCAGCCTTTATCTTTGATTGCCAGTAACTGCAGTGCTCCTCAAAACTAAACATGTCAAAACGGCATGTCACCTCTGTAACCAGGAGGGCCTGCTTCTGGGAGAAGACGGCACCCCTGCCCCCAAGGATGCCAAGCCACTGCAGTGCAAACCCTTACCTGAACTCCGGTTTCACACCAATATCTTTCTGCTGAAGATCTTGAAGGCTTCTTGTGATTTTGTTAAAGGCA